ACCAGTACATCCCCCAGATACTGAAATGATGTAACGGTTTTGATCCCAGTAGTCGTATCATCATCTAGGCCTCTCTGTCGTGTCGTATCATGTGGTGTGTGTGTGTGTGGTGTGTGTGTGTGTGTGCGTGTGATGCATACACATACAGGATTAATTGAAAGAAGTAATCTGATATGCCATGTACGTACTTTATGAGCCATTTTATTTGACTTTTATGACTTTAATTCAGGCAATTACTTTTTTTCTGACTTTATATCAACTATCGCTCTTTGCAGTCTATGTCGCTGGTTGGACCTTTGCTTCCGCCACCATAGAATGTTTAAAAAAATACTTTTTAATATAAAAAATTATAATTTTTTCAATAAACTTTCTGAGTATTATTTGTTTTGAATTATTTTCTCAATTTTGTTCATTCATAACATGATATAAATGTGGAAATTAATGAGTGAAGGGTCCAAAGTCTCGTTCCAAATCTAAAATTACTTATTATAAAATTAGAATAATATAGAACTCTTCCTTAGACGTGAATAAAATTAAATAAATTAAAAAATAATTTAATTTAAGTGAAATAAATAAATAATTAATAATAACACAAAGGAAGGCTACAAAGCAAGAAAAATAATAATTCTCGCATTTGGAAAGATCGCTGCGTAAGAAGTTGATCAGAATTCAAACAGACTGACAACACGGAAAAATATCAGACGTTATGTGCTGTCCCATCCCCTTTAAAATGCGTTTGACAAGTGCATACGATAAGTGCTGCCTGGAACGAGTACGCCAATGAGACGTTAAATGAAGTTGTGGTGAAAACGTTGGCGAACGGTTAAAAACAGCAAACAACAGCACGCCACCCAGCGAAGACTTTCAACGGCAATGTTGGACACAAAATTAAGATGCAATAATAACAGCCCCATCTGAAAGTTAAATATTTTTTCATATTATATTAAATTATAAATTATTCTCTATATTATATTTGATAAATAAATAAATAGATATGTGTATATAAGTTATCTATTTATTCATTACAATCCTTAAAAACAAACGGACGGTGCATGTCATTAAGCGAGCAACAACCGCATGTTACACATTTCATGTGACAGGAGGGGATCTCTTCGCCATTGAATCCGGTCCCTGCAACTCTGATGTCAGGCACTTTACCGCTCCGCCATTGCATCAGCCCGTGTATATATTATATTATATCACTGTAATATCACTGTTGAGCAAAGTTACGTTGTAGTTTACCATGAAAGTATGTGTCTGGCTTAGAAAAGATTAAAACGTTTTATGCGCAGCTATAAAAATCGTCCACTTTATGATAAATGACAATATGAAACCCATCAAACTTTTACTTAAATGAAGAATAATTGCAAAAACTCGAAAAAAAATCTAAAAAACATGTTTTAGTTATTAATTAGTTATGTTGTTAACGTAGGTCTCTGGAACTAAAAAACTGAAAGATTTTTCGTCCAGTCTAGAAAACCCAAAATTGTTCTAAGTTTTTTTTTGTTTTATGGTTCTGACATGCTTGGATGTATTTATCTCAGAGATAATAAAGTGAGTTTTGGTGATGAATATCATAGCAGACAGACAATGAAAAATAGTTGCTATGCATCTACATCTACATGACGTTTGTTAGTGCTGTTTGTTGTAGTTGTTGTAGTTGTTGACGTTATACCTGGCTTACGTGTAAGTTGAATCTGATGTACACGCGTTGGATGGTCATCGTTTATGTGTTGAGATAACTCACTAGGTGTTGGAATTTTTACATTATTTATTTTATTTTGATCTAGAGATCGATAAGAAAAACCAGCAATGAAACACAAAAAATGGTTGAATAACATGAAATAAAACACTCAAGCAATAGAAGAAACTATTTTTATGACACCTAAAAAATATTAGTTTTGGCAAAACAAAACTCGGATGAAGTAATAGAAGCAGTAGTAGCGGTAGTAATAGCAGTAGTTGTAGTAGTAGCAGTAGTTGTAGTAGTAGCAGATGCATTAGTAGTAGTATCAGTTGAAGTAGTAGTTGTAGTAGTAGTTGTTGTAGTTGTAGTAGTAGCAGTTGTAGTAGTAGATGTAGCAGTAGTAGTATCAGTTGTAGTAGTAGTAGTACTATGTAGCAGCAGTAGTAGTTGTTGTAGTAGTAATAATAGCAGTAGTAAAAATAATAATATTAATAGTAGTAGTAGTAGCAGCAGTAGTAGTATTAATAACTTGAGTTGCGTTGCAGCATTTTCATCTAATATAAAACAATGCTACCAGATACAAGCAATTAATTTTAGTCCTTTGAGAGTTTAATCATGACGTTGGGAAGATGCTTGTCATTAATTTTGAAAACCATTTTCCTTCTGCTTACAATTGTGGTAGTGATGATGACGACGACGACGAAGATGATGGTACGATATCATTGGTAATGAAGGCGACGATATATTGTTGTTGATGATACAGATGATATGATACATTGTTGGTGATACAGAGATTATGTTGTTGATGATACAGATGATATGATATCGTCGTTGTTGATGATACAGATGATAATGATGATGGTATTTAAGTGTCAAATTAGAAGAATTAATTATCTTCTCTAGTATCACTCACTACTGTACCAACTGTAGAGTTGTAAATTTTTTCATCACGATATCAACCTTTTTAGAACAGCCACCATCTTATGAAACCTTGTTTCTACATTTGAAAATTTAATATGAATTAGGAAAAATTTTAATGAAACTGTTCTCAGAATGGTTAAATGGATTTTGCCATGTAAATTTTTCCAAGTCTGCATTTTTGTTCATCGCATTATTTCTTGAATAATTTTCCTAAATTTTGTTGTTTTCAGATTCAAATGACCATGGCACTATTTGACTGATAAAGTATCATCAACAAAACATCAAACCAGTCAGTAGTACCTCAACGAAACATTAATAAAATAACAACATATAAAAAACAAAATATCAAAGTTGTCATCGATAGTGACGTTAAAACTCTCTTCAACTTCAACAACATTGATCAAATTGTGATTCAGTTTGCACCTAATTTCAGATTATGTCAACATTGGCTGCAGTGAAATCGCGATAACACTAGAAACCATCTTCGAATCGTTGTCATAAGTGACAGATAACGGATTGAACAATTAACTCTAACCAAGTTTATTTCTGTAACATTAGCCTCCAAAACCATCAACCATCATGCTCCGAACGAACAACAACATCGACACATTCAGCCAACATTCATCGCTGCCGACAAACACAACAACAGCAGCATTCATAACATTAATCACCCTTCTCAACGCCACAACAACAACCGCAGCAAACTACAACGCAACCGCCAACAACTACAGCGCAACCGCCGACAACTACAACGCAACCGCCGATAACTACAACAGTCCACCTGACAACGACACAACACTCAACTCGCTAGATGAGAAAATCCATCAACTCTACCGAAACCGCAGCATCCCATTCAGCATAATGGCCGCGTTCGGCATCTTCTTCAACATCATCAGCTTCATCGCCATCGTTAAGGTCAGAGGTCCCAGAACTGTCTACAACGTGTTTTTGGCAAACCTGGCTATTGGAGATACGGTGGGAGCTATGTTGTTGTGGATGTTTCACAACTCTCTCCTCATCTTTCCATCCTTCGAGGAGGAGTACGATCAAGACGGTGGTGGGGGTGTGGTCAGTGTTAAGATCTGCTTGTTTAAGGTGGGTGTAGTCTGGTGGCTGTTGTTGCGGTGACGATGATGATGTGGCTGATGATGTGGCTGATGATGGTGATAATGATGCCGATTGTAATGTGGCTGTTGTAGTGGTGACGATGATGATGTGGCTGATGATGATGACGATGATGCAGCTGATGAGGACGATGACAATGATGATGACAATTGTAGAAGAAGAATGATAGCAGTAAGAATAGCAAGAAAGCTGATAACAACGTTAAAGATAATGATGACAACGATCATGGCAATAATAAATTAAACAGATTTTTATCTGATATCTTTAATTTATCACTGTCAGAGCACGGTGACCTCATCACTTGAGGTCACTTTCATATAAGTTCTATGTGACAAACTTCTGAAAAATGAAGCAGAAAAAATTTTATGGAAAAAAAGAATTTTTTTCGTCATCATAAAAAACCGTTTAAATGTTTATGTGGAAGATGATTTTGTGATTATGGATATTAAGGATACGTTTATCATTTTGCGGGAATGTTTAATTGTATCTATGTGTGATGTTGAGGATGAAAAGGAAGAGAATGACGGTGATGATAAACATGATGATGACCATGGTCACTTTGTGGTTGTTGTTGCTGTTCATGTTGTTATCGTCGTCATTGTTGTTGTTGTTATTGTCGTTGTTGTAGTAGTAGCTGTTGCTGTGGTAATTGTGGTTGTTGTTGTTATTGTTGTTGTTGTTAATGTTGTTGTTGTTGTTGTACTTTAAGTTGAAACCTATTCTTCAAATGAAATATGAAACAAAAACAAAAAGAAATTATTTAATCGTCTAACTCTTACCAATTGATAAGTCTTAAACCTATCAGGATTGGATGAAAAAAATTCTGAAAATTCTGTCAGATGTTCAGACAAGCAAAGTTTCCAATCCACAACGGAGTTTAAATTAAATTTTTTTAAACAAAACTTTTTAGACGGAATGTTAGAAAGCATCTAGAACAAATTTTTTCCAAACAAAAAACTTTTAAAAAGGCGCGTGCTTCTACGTAGTGAGACTAGAATTAGATGGTCTAAATGATGATGATGATGAAGATGATGTCGTTTGTGATGATCAGGTTGCTGATGGTTGTATCAGTTTTGACGTTGATGATGATCAAGATGGTGAAGATGATGATGATGGTGATGATGAAAATGATGGAAATGATGAAGATGATGATGATGATGATGATGAAGAAGATGGTGGTAATGATGAAGAAGATGGTGGTAATGATGATGATGATGAAGATGATGATGATGAAGATGATGATGATGGTGGTGAAAATGAGGAAGATGTAGATGACAAAGATGATGATGATGAAAAAGATGATGACGATGATTAAGACGATGATGATGACGACGAAGAAGATGATAATGATGATGATGAAGAAGATAAAGATGATGACGAAGATGATGATAATGAGGATAAAAGAATCTGTAGAAACATTTGCAATCATTCATAATAACATTGTTAACTGTTAATGCACCAATAACTATTATACAATGTACATATGATCCTGGCTGCCTTAATATCAAGAACGTACATGTACATTGATTAATAGGACAAAACGCACAAGAACCATAAAACTACGACAGACCTACCGACAGCCACAAAAACGCTAAAAACAACACTACAATAAACAACACTACAACAACTACATAAAAATCATACTACATCTTCAGCAACTGCAGTGACATACATACATGACGATCCATCTCAAGCAAGCATAAACAATAAATATCATTTTCTGAGGTTCATCATATTCATCGCCCGATTTTAAAGACAAAGTTTATAACAAAATTTTACGCTTAAAAATTTGTCATCGTTTAAACGGAAGATGATTCAAGTTTGTTTCGTATGTTGGGGTTAACAGAATGAAAAAATAATTGAATTGTGTGTAGCACAGTGGTGTGGTTGAGTGTGGTGTGGTGTGGTTGGCTGTGGTGTGGTTAGTTGAGATGTGATTGAGTATAGTGCGTTTTTGTGTAATTAATAACTGTTTTTAATCTTTTATTCTGAACATTCAACCAACCAATCAGTGTCTAGGTCTGCTGGTGCCCATCCTGCTAGCGACAACAAACAGCATACTCGCCCTCCTTCTCCTGGCCCTCAACCAGTTCATCGCCATCTGCTACCCTCTCCTGGCGCAAACTCGTTTCATTCCGGAAAAAGCTTGGCTGGTTGTGCTGGTGACCTGGATCGTGTCTTTCGTGGTGGCAACCACGCCTGCTGTCATCATTGGAACGTTGGCTAGTGTTAATGGTGAGTGTGGTCTGTTGACATGAGGTTAGTCTGTTCTATAGTGAAAGGTTTTTAATGGAAGGAATAGTTATTGGAGCGTTGACCTGTAGTTTGGAGTAATGGAATTCTGTTGAGTTGACGTGAATGTTTTTTGTTGTCGTTAGTGTTAGCGATGCTGCTCGTACTGATAATGCAATCTTAGCTGATTGGCTTTGCTTAAAAATATTATTTATTATTTTAAGTGTAATTTCAACAGTTTGCAATACGTTCACGTATTAGTCTCTAATGACAAATTAAAAATTATTCATTTTTCCATTACATGCAGGTTGCACGCTGTACAAAGACAGAACCAACCTACCAGTTGAGATCAGTGTCTGTCTCCTGGCTGGGCTCGTCCTCGTTGTCGTTGTTCTCTACGCCAGAGTATATGCCGAGGTGGTTACTTATAAATTTATAATTAATTTATAATTTATTTACAACTAACTTATAGTTATAATGCTGATGATGCTGTTGATGAATAGGACGATGTTTTTTCACTCACCCGCTCATTCCTTCATCCCACCTACCCACTCACTCGTTTTACTGACAGGTAGTCCTATGTAGGAAGCGTAGCTTTATGCTCTCAAAATTTTCGACCAAAAGTTCTGACTCAGGCAAAATAATGACATCATCGTCGTCATTTCAAAAACAACAACAACAACAACTTCGAATGAACGTGGACAATACTGACAAGCCACCCAATGAAGTAGTTTGTAGCAACGACAGCAAAAGAGTTTTCAACAAAAAAGAGTTCATAGGACTTCCAAAACGACAAAAAAAATTCTCGGCGGGACAGCAAGTTCAGTTTCAACTGACGAAGCATCTACCTCAGCGCCACTACGAAGCCTCGTCAGAAAGCAACTACAAAGCGTTCCTCACCACCTTGATTCTCGCAGGAGCTCTCCTCCTCTTCTGGCTGCCCTACCTCATCATCAGCTCCATCAACACCAACTACGCCACAGAATTTTTATTCAAATTGAAATTTTTCGTCTTAGACATCCTGCCGATGTTGACGTACTTAAGTGACCCAATCATATACGGCGTTCGTATCAGGAGCGTGCGCCTCAGCTACAGGAGAGTGTATGGACCAGTTATGATGAAAATATGCTGTGGGTGGAGATTGTTCTGCTGCTGCAACAAAAAAGACGGCAGAAGAAAATACGTCTCCCCTAAAAACGAACTCAATATGGTAAACGCTAACGAAATGGCGAGAAATGGGAATGAAATAAGCCTGAGGATGACCAGCATGCAAGATCTCAGTGCTGGCCAGTGAAGTTCAAGGCGGTACAATCCTTGTCCATCGCATTTTTAATGGGATAATAGTGTAAATACAAATTCGATTTCATCTCTACATACCTTGGCATGCATATTACATGTACTAATTGTGTGCAGTTTTATATCATTGTTTTTTTGTTACTTATTACCAACACATTCTTTCATGTTTAACATTAGTGGTAAAACATTTGTGACCCTAAGTTAAACATATGCAGTTAGTGTATAATTTGGTGTTTGAAACATTAGCATCAATTACATAATGAAATTATTATTAATATTAATTTTTTGTTATTAAGTGGTATAATTATGTAATATAAACATATATACATTCAATTGTAAATATAAAAATATAAAGAATATAATCCAAATTTGTCCTAAATGGTTTACGAGCTAGAGGTTTTACAAAAAAAAACCCGACAGAAAAAACAAATGTATATTTACAGTAATTAAATAAAGCAACAAAATTCAACTGTGTGTTAAAATGATTTATTCAGTTTTCAAAATCCCTCCCAGCAGCAGTTCAAAAAAAATTATTGTTGAGTAAACTTTATGTTCCTAGCCATTTTAACTAGTTTCAATTAGGTTTTCGCATATAAAACAAAGTAAAATTAATTTTAAATTACCTGCAGTGGGTGCTGGGATCGGAAGAAATAGGATTCTAACTACGGCCTCTCAAAAAAAATTCAGACTTCGACTCCTGAAAAAATCCCAGACTTCGACCGGCTCCGACAATGCTTTTTGGAATATTTCACAAATCGCATTACTAAGTTTGAACTTCCTACTAACTAAAGTTTTATTTCTTTAGTTTTCTAATGTGGGATAATATATCAAGAAGATTCTTTGTTTTTTTTGTTTCACCAAAACGGAATCTTCCTAATTGTTATTCAAAGTTTTAAGATATTTTAATAAGTTTTTTGAAAATTTTGTGTCAAAATTTTTAATCTTGAATAGCAAAATCTAGCACCGTATTCTGTTTTTTATTCAAGCCAAGTAAAATTAATTAAATTTAAAAAATATTTTTGCATTTAAACAATTTTTATAGATTATGACATTTGCGTTTCACACTTCTTGGTTTTATTGTATAAAAGAAATTATGGGGCATTTTACTTTCATTTGTACCACATTTTCTTCTCACAACAAAACTGTGAAAATAAAAAAAGCATTAAACTTTATGCCTTAGTGTTTGGTAGAGCAATGATGTAATTGCGCCTGGTCATGTGACTGGGTTCGATTTTTGGGCAGCGGTTGAAAGAGCTTGGTCCTGTTTGGCAGTGCGTGCAGTGACCAGGTTCGAATATGATAAAAGATGCCCGCCATCGTAGGCTGTGTGTGTGATACGTCGTTTAGCTCGTATTCATATGCTTTATGGTGTTTGTATGTTGTTGATTCCCTTTGGAGTGTATGTATCTTAAACATTTTTTTTAATACGATGAGGTTCACTCTCATCACATACAATGTGCCAATGCTTTATTCTAACGTAATGAAATGAAATGTATACGTTGCTGCTGTTTTTGAATATCTAATTAGTTGAAAATTTTAAAATAAAAATTTCAAATACAAATTTGAGTGTAAAATTATTTTTTTTCAATCCACACACATACAATGGTTATAACCTTGAGTAACAACCATGAAAAAAAGTAAACACTATCAAAAGGCTTTCACATTACTCGAATTAAAGCAGGTAGCTTACTAAGCAGCTGAAAAAGCTACTTAGTAAGCTGCTTACTGAAAGCAAGCATTAATGGCCAGCAGCTTAATGGACGAAAGCAATAATAATATATGCAAAAAAGCGACTTGTGGTTTTATCGGATTATTTCACTGATACATTAACACAAGTCCGTAATCATGCCAACAAAGGATAAACCTTTATTTTGATCGCTAGAGTGCAAGCGAAATAATATCTAAAAAATAAAAAACAAATAAATAAATATAATATTTTTTAAATGTATAAGCTATGTCTTCAATACTACAAATCGGACTAAATTAGTCGAGACAAATAAACAATTTAAAAAAACACCATAAAGTAACTTAGCACAGGGCTATCTAATTAGCTGAAAAATATTTCGGTTCATACTAACCTGGCACAGTTGATACCGTGATCACGAAGGCGGTGCTTCCAGGACGAGGTCCGATCATTGCACTGAGGTCGGATTGACTTCTGCGATTACTCCAAATGTGGGTAACTCGGGTGCATATTTTCTGAGTGTGAGGAACTGCGTTCGCGCTTTTCCTCTAATCTTTTACACAAATATAAACTTTTATGTTTGTTGGATTGATGTTTGGATTACGATTGCTAGTTTGAATTTCTAAACATGTCGGCTGACTGAAGAACTTTTGATTGACTATGTTGCTGTGTGATGATTGTTCAAATAAGGATTTAGTTAAAAGAAGAATGTGTTTTGTGTCTGTTTATATGTAATATCCGGATGGTAGTGTTTCAAGTTAATTACCTCATATTAACATTTAAAAACACATCTAAACGCACTTATACATTGAACGTCGTGCAGAATGAAATGAACATTTAGTTGACATATTTACAAACATAGCATTCAAATGTCACTTTGTTAAAAATATATAATCAAATTGAATTTATTACTATTGTCGTTATAAGCAGAACATAGTTTACTGTTGTTAGTGTTAATTTAGAAATTTTTAAATTGTACAAAATATATTATCAAAAATTAAATTTTTTACTATAAAAATTTACAAAAATCTGCCAACGACACCAAAAGTCATTTTGGTCTTTTTCGACAAATTCACATAAAATTATTAAATTAATATTTTACATAAAACTTATCTATCAATCCGCAACATTGAGAGACTAATACGTGAACGTATTGCAATATTTTTAAACTGTTGAAATTACACGTAAAATTATAATTAATATTTTTAAGCAAAGCCAATAAGCTAAGATTTAATTATCCACAACCAACAACACCTACAACGATAATGACACAACTGAATCAGATAACAACAACACCGATAACAATAGCAACAACAACAACAATAGCAACAATGACAACACTTACAAAAACAATGACACAACAAAATCAGATAACAGCATCACAACAAACGAGGTGATGAACAACCAAGACACCAAGGGGAGGAACAACAACAACAACAACCAGCACAACAACAACCACAACAACGATAATAACAATAACAACAACAAAACTCACCAAACCAAGAAAAAAAACAACAACGACAAATTTATAATCGTTCGACCACACAACGGACGACAACCACCAACCATCCAGTACCATCTATTTCAACATCAACTCGGAAGCATGATGATATGCTCAATCGTATTAAGGCTGTATTACTTTTTTACTCGTTCACACACTATGCCGACATCGTTGAGTAATATCGTCTGCCTCCGACGCGACATCACCATCATCGTAACAACACGAAACATATGGAACGAATAATTTTATTATACTTCATTTTACCATTTCTTCTGTTTTCAATTAATTTTCAATACTATTTTTTCACGACAACCTAGTTCAACCCTGCCCCTAACCCTGACATACACACACATCAACCTCACACACATATACATTATACACAAACAAAGTGCCTTTCTTATATTATAACAAAGTTAAAACACAACTCAAAAAATGGAATTGTTTACATTCGAACTGATTCAACAATTTGAAGAATTTAAAGCAGGATTGGACCAGTGGCTGAGCACAACAAAAAACGCAACGCACATGGATCCGCGAATCCACTAAACTACGAAAATGCGCTAGGCCATGGAACGACAAGAAGAATGCCGCTTCTGCCGGATCCACCAACCAACCCATTAGTACAGCTCCACCATCCAGGGGCTCAATTCAGATACAGGCCACTACACCCCATCATCCCAGGCAACAACCGCAACAAGAGCAACAATACAAAAAGTAACACTGAACGCAACCCAAACAACAACAACACCAAAAATGTACAGCATCGAATTGACAACAACAAATTTCAACAAATTAAGGCAACCGCGAAACTCATCTACAAAAAACACAACTCACCCACCACATAAACAATTGGAAAGAGGACAGGGCGAAAATCCTCAAAACAACCATCAACAATCTTAAAGACAACATCAACCCACCCAAGAAGAACGACACATTGAACCAAACAATATCAAACATCCTCGACAACGCATACGAAACCATCAAAAACACGATCATCAACTATCTCAACAACGAACTATCTAAATAAAACACCAAACACTACAAAAACATACACTAATATACGACACAAAACCAATCGAGGATCAAATCAGGTTTCTCCAGAAGAAAAAAAATTCCTTCACCACAAAAACAATACAGATGACATCATAAATAACGAAAATTAACATTCTTATCGTAATTACATCAAATTTGAATTTGTCATTAAAGACTAATACGTGAACGTATTGCAAAATTTTTAAACTTTTGAAATTACACGTAAAATTATAAATAATATTTTTAAGCAAAGCCAATAAGCTAAGATTTAATTATCCACACGAGAAGCATCGCTAACACTTGAATAAATTCTTTAAAATAAGTCTTTAAAGTAATTTAGAATTGACATTTATTTTTGAAACAAAAACAGTCTTCCACAAGAACTTAAATTATTGACAGCATAAAATAAACTTATAAAAAATAATTGCTATATATACAGATAACATTTTAAATGATACCTCTGGTAACTGTAAAAAAAACATATTAATCATAAGAAACGTTGACAAACTAAGACAATCCACATGTTAACAAAATGTTATGTAAGTCCTCAAACAAATAATACATTATTGTTACCAATTTTTACATATTAATTCTCAAAGCTATCGGCAACATTCCAACAGCCAGCTTGCACTTGAATACGCCTGGACATCAAATGAAGTACATCCCCAACAAAAACATACGACACGTATTAGACTTGATTCAAAACCGATTGTGCGAACTAACGGAAGAGTAAGGAGTAATCATTATTATCATCTTTTTCCTCATCTTCATCATCATAACTTTTCATCATTACTTTACTTTTCACAAAATTATTAAATTCTTTTTCATCGCTGATTCTCGTAACCTGGGATGATTAGGGGTCTGCGTTCCGGCCGAGTTTGATTGCAAGCTCAAAATTCCGTCAGAATTATCCAGACATTTTGGAATTATAGTAAAAAACTATGATCAAACGCGATCAAATTCGGAATCCGAGGGAAATTTTCAAGGTATTTATGTATTTTTCGTAGTGTTATAATAAATCACTAGCTTGAAAATCTCTATCAAATAATGAATAAACCAGTGACTAGGACCTTGTGTATTGTACTAAATCAAGAATGATAATTGTGAATGGAGAAAAATGGGAAAAACGACATATACACGCACAAATTTGAAAAAAAATAAATTCAAACAAAATGTCAGTTATATATGCAACTGAACACGTGTCCGTGTGCGTTAGCAGAGAAAATATCCACGTGCAAGCAATGGAGCTATGAAGAAATTTCACATTATTTAAATATATACACATAAATATGTCTTTGAAATTAAAATTGTTGTTACAAATCTTTTCACATTGATACATTTATCCATCCTTAAAATTATATAAGCATGTATATATACAAGGAGGTTAACAAAGAAGATAACCACGTGCAAGCAACAGAGTTATAAAGATAATTCGTACAAACAATGTATATTGTATATCATGAGGTCAACACACGCACACACACACACACATACTTACGGTAATTAGAAATTCACATAGTATAAAAAGAAATAAAATGTATAAAAATGTTTTTAATTGTTATGATTGTAATTTACTCTTTTGTAAAAGTTTGGTTTTCTGTTTGATTTTATTGTTTTTTAAATTTTTATGGCTAAATGTTTATAAATTTCTTGTAAATTACCTAAAAAAATTTAGTTACACGCATGAGCTAGAACAATTAAAAGAGGAGCTGACAAAGCAGTATCTGTTTGCGGTGATGATGATAGTTTTAGTTATGATACTGATACTATCAGTTGCGATAATGATAATTTTAGTTATCGTAATAAAGAAATATGTGAAAAAATTATGATAGTGAGAGTTGATAATGACAAGGGAATAGAAACAAAGCAGTAATTGCGAATGAATTTGCATGAGCTTATAATTAAACGTCATGAAGTTAGTAAACTGCAAGGATATATATATTAACTGTTAATTTAATGTTGTTGTTTTATTAACTTTTAGAGCTTTTCGATTTTCATTTTGTTTGGTACATGTTCTTAATATTTACTTTTTGTAAAAATTGTTTTAGGTGTTCGAAAATTTGCAAAATGGAAAAAAAGAAATAGAAGGAAAACGCGTAAATGAGTTAAGCAAAAGGGAAATGGGAGTTTTCGGAAACGTTGTCATGAATGGGAATTCGGGAGGGAATCGGGAATGACAAACAAAAATGGGAGGGAATTGGGAACAAATAAACAATTCAATAATTATGTCACGGTTTTTATACCATTTTTAACCCTTCCATCCCCTCTCTGTCACGCTCAGCTGACCCCCCAAGTTCACGACCTGTAATCTATTGTTAATAGATTATAAAGATAACATCACGACATAAGTACAATGTTTTAAATCAGAATAAAAATGTCTCGTATCGATTAGGTTCATGTTCATGGCTAATTTTACAGTTCGGTCCACACTGTTGCAAGATGTTGCTCCGTTGTAACCAATGAAATGTGTGTATCATTGCCAGCATTGTCTATATTCAATCCTGTACAGAAAGAAATTAGGCGTTTTATTTTCTGTTGCTTAATATTAAAATTGAAAGGTAAACGTCAGAAACATTTTGTTTAATTGTTTATATTGCGTGCACAGATTATCTAAAAAATCTATAACTAAAATGGCAGCAGCATTGTTCTGCCTAAATATCGAACATAACCCGACGTGGAACGTATCGGCGCTTAAGGTGAGCGGGAATTGAAATTTGTTCCCAATTCCCTCCCATTTTTGTTTGTCATTCCCGATTCACTCCCGAATTCACAATTTTGGTAACGTTCCCGAAAAATCACATTTTTCAACTCATTCCGGCGTTGTCCCTCCCGTTCCCCTTTTTTCTCAATTTGCAAATTTTTGAACACCAAAAACAAAATTTTTTTAAAATGCAAACCTTAAGAACGTGGATTTTTTAATAATAATAATGTCATTTATGAGCGCCCTATGCATAGCGTCAGAGGCGATGGATTTAGTACCAATCAAAATAAAAATCCAAAACTTGTGTGTGTGTGTGTGTGTGTGTGTGTGTGTGTGGAGTGCCGCCGAGCACATGTTTGCGCGTAGGTGTTTGTACATGAAATTTCTTCATAGATCTATTGCTTGCACGTGGTTATCTTCATTGTCAACGCACACATGTGTACGTATGTGAATGTGTATGTCTCGATCACATGTGTACTTGTAAAAATATATATATATATTTATGTTGGTAATAGACCATAATTTTTACAATATTCTATAAATTCTACCGAATGTTTGGCGTTAATATGTTTGTAGTTCGTTTTTTCGATTTTTCTTAATAAAGTTTTTGGTGAACGTTTAGTTTATTAAAATTCAAAATAAACTTATTTTTTGAATTCATGCTGCACTTTGACTTTGTAAACATTAACTTTGGGTGTTGTAAAAATGTAAATTAGGTGTCAGGTTTTTTTATTGGCTGGTCGTGTTCTTTGGTCTCCTTTTCTTCATCGATAGCATGGTCGTGTTCTTTGGTCTCCTTTTCTTCATCGATAGCATGGTCGTGTTCTTTGGTCTCCTTTTCTTCATCGATACCATCATATTCTTCTTTGTCATTATTTACAATGCTAATAGTGATTGAGTGTGTTGAGTCCAAATGAGATTTGATTAGTCGTGAAATCCTCGACAGCAACACCAAAGTAATATACCAGAACAGCAACTACACGCACCTTAAAATTGCAGAAGCAGTCCTAATTGACATCGATAAACCAAAAATAAATATACAACAAAAAATGACAACCTCACTCCCAACCCGACGCTTAACCAACAATGAAAACAAAGAAGTAATAAAAACTAGCATTGTAAATGGTTCATTCGGAATCGAAATATGGCCTTATTTGCAGCATGAATTCAAAAAATAAGTTTATTTTTAATTTTAATTTTAATAAACTAAACGTTCACCAAAAACCTTTAGTGAGAAAAATCGAAAAAACGAACTACAAACATATTAACGCCAAACATTCGGTAGAATTTATAGAATATTGTATAAAAATTTATGTATATATATATAAATACATATAAAATAATTATATATATATATATTTATATATACATACAATTTTTTTATTT